TGAATTAAATGTATTTGGAAGAAAATTCACTGCCTGCAGGCCTCAGTCATGCTGCCCTCTGCTGGACGTTTTTCATAATGAACGTTTGGCTCAAAAAGGACAATATTTCTGTTGCCATTTCAAAAACAGAAACTCATCAGTTATAAAGATTCATTCAGAAACATTTTTATGATTATGACTCAGATCAATAAAACCCAGAACCAGCCTCCTGGAAAAAGTTTAATACTGGGCCCCCATGGTGCCCCAGACTATCAGGTCATTAACCTGCTGCTACAACCTCCAGATGTTCTGATTGTGAATTCACAGTTTGTTTGGTCTGGACTGTCATTTAATTTTCATTCGATTCGGTTTGCATTCAAATTGTCCTTTTTGCAAGCGGACCACAGCGAAACCACATGCGTGACGATGACGGCTCCTATTGGTCAGAAATGACGACAGCAGGACACACCTCTGTTTTGCATACTTACATAAAAGTATTCAGTCAGTCACTGACTGTGTAATTTGTCTTAGTTAGAAACAAGTGATGTCAGTGATATTCATCCTCAACTATCAGAGGAAAAAAAAAGAGCATTTAAAAGAATGTTTTTTGTAAATGAGAGTGAAAATTTAAGTATTTTTTGTTCCACAGATGTAACTCCTTCTCTGGGAAGCTCTACTGTCCTCCTTCTTTATTACTGGAACCTGTGTGAGCTGGTTTTCAGTATAAAAATTCCACCCATTCACAGCCTCTTATAGTCAGACTCCAAACTCAACCAAGGCCAGGACCAAAGATCTGCTGAAGGACACCAGGAGAGAAAATGATCATAAGAACAGTGAGCAGAAACCAAAGAACTACAGAGAGACCTGATGAATGAGCTGAAAGAAGGAACCAGAGGAACAAAGGCTGCCATCAGTGACAGACTGTGACCAGAGGGGCTCACATCCTGCTGAGGTCAGAACATGTACAGTCTGTCTGAAGTTTGACAGAGAGCAGATTTATGATCCAGAAGAGGATTTGGAGAACGCCATCTGTTCTGACGGAACCAGATCAGAATGTTCTGGAACAAACTGAACTCATCGCGTTTGGAGGAAGAAGAATGTTCAGACTGATCCTGTGAAGCACGGGGGTGGAAGCATCATGCTTTGGGCTGTTTTTCTACATAGGAGACAGAAGGACTGATCTGTGTTAAAGGTAGAATGAAGGTTTTTAACCCTGTAATGCC